GCAGTGGGACCAAGGAAGGAGTGACCAAACAGGCTGCTAGGGCCCTTTGTATAAAGCCTAGTGTTTTGGACTTGCATGTATGTATGTATGTATGTATGTATTTACTTGTTTATAGATGGTACTGGGGATTGAATCCAAGCCTTTGCAGTAGTTATATCCCTGGCCTTAAAATTTTTTTTCTTTTGAGACAGAGTCTTGCTAAGTCATTAAGTTGCCCAGGTTGGGCCCAAACTGGTGGTCCTTCTACCTTAGCCTCCCAGAGTGCTGAAATTACAGGCATGTGTTTCTCCACCTGGCCAGTGTTTCAGACTTTGTCTAAGAGGACTTTCAAGTAGAGGAATGGGGGGCTGGGGAGATGGCTCAATGGAATATGTGCTTCTCTGGCGAGCGCAAGGGCCTGAGTTCAATCCCCAGTTCCACCAAAAAAAAAAAAAAAAGTAGAGGAATGGCAGGAGCAGCTTTGTAGTTACGAAATGTCACTGCAGTGGGGGGGTAGGAATAGCTACTGGAAGAACAGTTAGGAGGGAGGCTGAGAAGTGGCGGGGGATTGCCTGCGAGGCAGGGAAAGTGCGGAGAGGGGAGGTGTTTGTAGTGCAAGGTGGAAGCTATAGTGCTTGGTGGAAGTGGACTTGGCAGTGGGAGATGGTGAGTATTGGGGCTGACCTTTTGACTCTGAGGTGAGCACTGTGCAAACGCCAATGCCAGGGGAGGCCCAGCCAGTTTGGAAAGGTGAAGCTGAGTTCATAGTGAGTGGATATGTTTAGCTGTGTGCACAACAGCTGGGTGGAGGAGCTGAGTAGACCTGTGCATGTGTGGGGTGCAGCTCAGAATGGGAGTCAAGGCTGTGTGCATAGCTTGGCATTCCTGGTGTGGGCTAGGGTACAGAGGCTCATACCCTCGGCAGCCTGGTTTGTAACTGAGTGAGTACACTGTCCCCTGCTTCTGTGTGAAGTAAAGGAGAGAGAAACTGAAAGTCTGAGAGGAAGGAACTACAGATGTGAAAGCGGACGAGGGTGGTAGCACAGAGACAGAGTATTCTTAAGTGATTGTATGTTGAAGCTTCTGATGTTGGGATTGCAGGGAAGTGGAGTCTGAGAAGTTTTCATTGCACCCCGCACTTGAATAGTGGCCTTCTGACTTTAGGTAGGGCAGTTTCAGTGCCATGGTGGAGGCAAGAGAGCCTGATGGAAGCGGACTTAAGAGTGAAGAGGAAGACTGGAGGCAGCACATGTAGATTTGTGATAGAGAATGGAAGGTGGTTTTGGGGAGAGATGTGAGCATTTTTTTCTTTTTTTTTTTCAAGAGAAATCGTTTATTGATTACACATGATAATGGATGATACACAGCTTCAATCCCATCTATCATTGTATCTGGTACCATTATTCAATTTAGATATACA